TTTTGACAACCCACTTCAGACTTCTCTCATTTCCATTTCATTTGGGTCCATCTATTCTTTTCCTTTTCAATTCTTTTGTCTTCTCCAAAATGTATCCTTAAGAGTTATATAGCTCATTGCTAAGCTTGAAAGACACCAGAATGTTAAATAAATTATTGTCATGTTTTGTAATATACATATAAAAGTATATATTATAATCAAAATAATAGTATATACCTTATATGTAAGTATAAATAAATAAATAAATACATAAATAAATTTATATATATAATTGTTTGGACTCGAGCCTTGATGAGATGTAGTACTGGAAAATGAACTGTTTATTTTTTTTGAACACTAACACTTGTCAATCCAGTGGGGTCCTTCAAAAAATACAGCTAAACTTTCTTTTATCAAGTTTTTTGCTGTTCATCATGTGTTAATCAGGCAGTGGAAGGTACCCATCAATTACAGAGTGCCCTAAGTTTGACTTTCAACTTAAATTTATCTCTGAGGCTCAGTTTTCTTATCATTAAAGTGGGAGAAATAATCTCCATAGGATTGTTTGCAAGACTGAATTTGTGACATATGAATACATGGTAGACACTCAGCAACCTTAATTTCATTTCTTTCTTACCTTGATTTTCTGTTGTTTGAAAAGGAAAACTAGGCATTTAGTTTTCTTTTCCAAAAAAAATTTAAAAAAACTTATGTAAATATGACTTAAAGGTAAACTTACCAGGTGTCGAAACATTTATGCTATTTAACTTCAGATGTTCAGTTTTAATTGTTGCTGTTGGAGAGAGTGCTATTTTTCTTCATAGTCATACTTTTCTCCATGAAATCTGTTTGGGTCTTTTTAACTTTATTTCAACCATCCTTCCCAAAATAACACTATTTGTTAGTATTGTTAATCCAAATTTACTTTATAGCTGTTTACTTGGGGTGGATTTCGTTTATGAACTCTCAAAATGTCCAAGAAATAAGGTAATTTTGGCAATGTTCTGGATTCATGTAAGTTTCTCTTTGAAACTGAATAAATCTGCTTATTTCTTTTCTTATTGATTACACCTGTATGCTGAAAGCCTGTGATAATTAACTTTTTATCATTTAAATTTGGATTGCAAACTGTTTTGGTAATTAAAAGCAGATGGCAGAAGCTGGAGAAAAATGTGTAGCAGCTGATTAGTGGAAATAAATGAATTTGGAGTTATTTCACTTCCAGATAATAGATGGGTCAAACACAGTTTATACTTCACAGTGTGTACTTTTAGAGTAATTCCAAACATGATGTTTGATAATATATCGAGAAGTAGGTGTTTGTTCTTCATCATCTTTTGCTCTCTGTCCTGTGAGAGAATGCTCACTTATTTTCCTTGTACAGCACGTGTGCCAATACATTAATTTCAGCTCAACCTGGTTACTTGCGTCACCAGTGGCTTTTTGATAAGGCTTTGCTTTGCCTCCGGGTATCTTGAGGCTAAGCATTATGTGTTGCTTGAATTTTTCTTCATGAAGCTTGTTGTTGGCTCTCAAAGCCAGCATTCAACAAAGTTCAGCCACCCTATAAAGTTCATCTGTCAGCCTAACAATTTTCATTCTAATGCTGAAAACAAAAGACTTCAGTGGGTAAAATGAAGTTGTTCAGCAGGTTAGACTGGTTTTAAGCACCCCCTCAGATTAATGTTAATTAAGATTCTAATTCCCACTACTCTGGAACTGTGAAAACAATTTGAAAGGTGTGGGTGATTCTCTAATTTCCATAAATTGGAGCAGCTATATGACCATAAAGGCTAAAGGATCCAGCCCTAACTATCAACCCACCAAAGCACTGAAAATTTATGTTCCATGATTGAAAGCCACCAGGAACAACCAAATCTTTTCATAGGTTTTCAGTCATTTCTCTGAGAAACGACTGCTGGAGTACAAAAGTTAGAGAATCAAAAAACATACCATACACTTTCCTTTTCAGGGCAGTCATCCTTTATTCAAGAATTTTATCAACTTTTGGAAATAGCTCTATTTTTTTTTCCTTTGTAGAATTTTGTCTTGATAAACTGGTACACGATTCCAATTCTACTATTTATTATTAAAGATTTAATGAGAATCCATCTGCATGTGTTGAATTGTGTCCCCCCCAAAAATATGTTGAAGTCCTAAACTTCAATACCTAGGAATGTGATGTTATTTGGAAATAGGGTGTTTGTAGATTTAACCAAATTAAGATGAAGTGATTAGGATGGGCTCTAATTCAATACAACTTGTATCCTTATAAAAGCAAAATTTGGACAAAGGCACAGGGAAGATGATGTGATGATGGCCTTTTGATGGCAGAGGCAGAGAGTGGACTGATGCAGCTGGAAGCCAAGGGATGCCAAGGATTGCTGCCCACCACCAGAAGCTAGGAAGAGGCAAGGAAGGATTCTACCCAGTGTCCCAGAGAAGCATAGTCCTGCTGACACCTGGATTTGGGAATTTCAAGCCAATTCCCAATTTGTGGTGCTTTATTATGGTAGCTATAGCAAAATAATACACAATCTGTTGCCATGGTGAAAATCTTTCTTTGAGAAACACATCTGAAAGAATAGATGAATAATAGAGAATATAATGCTCTGTTTCTCATTAAAAGATATGCTTATTTTAAGTGTTGATTTAAATTCTAGTTCGTTAATATACAGTGTAATATTGGTTTCAGGAGTAGAATTTAGTGATTCATCACTTACATACAATGCCCAGTGCTCACCATAACAAGTGCCCTCCTTAATACCAATCACCCAGTTAGCTCTCAATCTGTTTAAAAATTTTTTTTTTTAATGAGAGATTTCTATTATTAATACAAAAGCTACACATGTTCATTATGGACAATGTTAAAAACAGATAGGTGGTCTAAACTGGTCCTTGCCCTGTAAAGTCTATTCTTCACAGAGCAACTGGAATGAACTAGTTAAAATACTGATTTTGCCTCTTCTCTCATTAGAATCCTTCAGAATTTCTATCTCTCTCAGAGCAAATCCATAGAATACAGTGGCCTATAATCCATTTAAATCATTACAGCAATGGTTCTGAATAAACTGGGGGCATTTAAAAACTGCTGCTGTCTGGTTCATCCTAGATAAATTCCAGCAGAATTTCCAAGGGTGCAGACTGGGCAAGGGTAGGGTGATTCAAGGTACTACTCTAAGATGAAGAACTGCTGCCAGTCACAATTTTTCCTCCTCACTCCTGAAAGCCCTTCTCTTTGCCCCTCTTATCTCTTAGACTTCATCTTCTACTGGCCACACGAACTTCCTTGCTGTGCCCTACAAACCTCAACGATGTTCTCACTCGCTCTTTGTTCTTGTACCACTTCCACAGGCACCCATTCACATGACTCACTCCATTTCTTTCAGGTCTCTGCTCAAGGAAACTTTACTGGTGAAGCTTTTTCTGACCTCTTAAAAAAATACTCCCCCCATTCCATCTGCCCTAATGTTCCTTTTCCCCTTTCCCTTATTTTTCTTTATATCATTTACCAATCTTTGACATATTATACTCTTGTTTATTTTTTAACTGCCTGCTACACCCAACTTGAATGTAAGCTCCTTAAGGGCAAAGACGCTTGTGTTGTTAACTGTTATATACCTAGAAAAATGTGTGGCAAATAGTAGGCATTCAATACATGTTTCTTGAACAAATACATGAATTATGATAGGATTGGGGAATATGCTAAAATGTGAAATGAAATCATGTCCTATTGAATATCGGTAAGTTTTGTTTCAACTTGGGAGTTACCTTTGCCTATCACAACTGTATTAATCGTCCTATTATAATAAAACAACATAAGGAATTCATGAACATTCTGAACTATCTTCAATGTCCTCCTAACATTTCTATTTCTACTCCCAATCATTTACTTTTCTTCATATTTTAATCCTCTGCTTTTCCTCTTTACTCTGAAACTCTGGATCAGTCTTCATCTCCATCCTTTACTGATACCTTGAATATTGGTGTTGGCCATGTTCTCCTCCTACCTATCCCTGCATCTTCTTTTCTGCCCACGATGGCTTCAGTGGTTCTCATTTTGACTGCCATTTAGAATATGTGGAGACCTTTAAGAAAATACCAACGTTAGGCTAGTTTCCAGCTTATACCAGTTAAATAGGACTCTCTGAGTTGAGGCTCAAGCATTGGTTTAAAAAATTCCGTGGGTAATTCTGATGGACAGCCAGAATTGAGAACCGCAGAAAGATAACTGAGAACTTCTCAGATCACGGTTCAAATTCTTTTCTGTGTTTTGGGGAAGTAATATAAACAAGATGTAAGTTAGCAAGATAGAGAATTGTGGAAATGAAAGTCAACCAGGGAGAGACTAGAGGGAAGGAAAGGAGTCAGCTATTGCAATACTCTAGGCAAGTGATGAGAATCTGAATTTAGGACGCAGGTGACAAGGAGTAGACGGATAACAGATTATACAGACAGGAGGCAGGATGTATCAAGTTATCTATTGTTGGGCAACAGCCCCCCCCCGCCCCAAACTTAGTGGCCGCAAAAAAGCAACAGTGATTTATTTGGCTTATAAATCTGCCATTTAGTTAGGCTCGGCGGGAATGGCCTATCTGCACCATGTGGTATCAGTGAGATGGCTCTAGTCTGAAAGATGTACTTTTAAAATGGGTTACTCACGTCTGTCAGATTGGGGTTGGCTGTCAACTTTGAGGCTTAGCAAGGGCTGAAGCTTAGAGTTTTGTTTTGTTTTGTTTTTAATTTTCATAAATCTGACGAGGGCTGAGTGGGGTATACTTTTGGGAAGACGTGCCAGTCTTGGCTCAGAAGGCTCCTCCACAGGAAGGCCAGCTCTCAGTGCCTGCTCCTTCAGGGGTTCAAGTCCCAGGCCAGAGAGTTCCTGGCATCCCAGCCTTGGGCGGTGGGGTCATCCCCTCGATGGAGGCCGGGTGACGGGGTCAGTGCGCTGAGTCCTGCCGGCGTTGGCCCCTCTCGGTCGGTCCTGTGCCCGGCCTGTCACTGGCGGCCGGCGACGTGGCCGGGTCTGGCGTTTGGGACATGCATGCCGGGGGCTTCAGGAGGGCTCCGCGGGGCTGGCAGGTTTGCCCTGGACTTGGGGGCGGCTGTGTTCGTGCAGGGAGGCGCGAGAGGACATGGGCTCGGAGAGCAGGGGGTGGTGGACTGCCCCCTCAGGCTCTGGTCGGCTTCTCCCCTTTGGTGGACGCCCGGGGCCCTAGGTCAGGCGGGGGGAGTCCGAGCAGCCGGTGACTGTGTGGTTGGGGGGAGGGGCACATGGCGCCCGCTGTCTCCACCATCTCCACAGCGCAGTTCCTCGGCCTCCTGCGACTCTCTCTGTCAGCGTCTTCAGTGTTCCTGGGGGCGCTCCTCCCTGAGTTGTCCCTGCTACTCCCTGAGGTGCGGCTGCATCTCCTCAGGGGCCGCCTTCTGCCGCTTGGCCTTCCGCCTGCGCAGGCCTCTCAGGCGCGCCTTGTGGAGCGCGAGCCGCGGCTGCGGTCGGTGGTCACCATCTTGCTACTTGTTGTTGCGTTTCCCGGAGGAGAGGCTTCCGCCGGCGGCTGCGGCTCAGTGCGCACGCTGCCCTGGTCGTCGCCGAGGGCTTTGCTGCCATACCACACAGTGGCTGCATTCCGAGAGCGCGCGTTCCTAGAAGGATTGCGTTTTGAGTTCCATCGTAAGTCGCACAGCGTCACTTGCGTTATTGGCTGAGGCGGTCACAAAGGCTAACCTGGAAGAGGACGCGGACGCCATTATCTTGATGGGATTGGCAAGGTTTTAGAAGAGGTCTGGGCTGGGAGATATGGTGGGCCAGTTTAGGCCACGGTCGGCCTCCGTCTTGGGGTCTAATTGGAAGGGGATGATGAAAACAACGAAGAAGGAAGGGCAAAGGTGATTTAAGTAAAAGCAGCTTTAAAGATAATGCTTATTTGGATTATTACCAAAAGTTAAGTACGTAATGTTATCACTAGCTAGGGCTGCAGGAAATACTGTTTCTAATACATGCTCTTAAAGCCTACAGTAGTGTGTTTCATTTGCTTTGTTCAGAACATACATTGGATCTGGACACTGGATAATCCTTCTGGAAGGGTGATAATTTTCTAAAAGCTTTTGGAAACCTTTGATAGCTAGGCTGTTTTCACACGTGTGTCCTGTTACTTGAGTGAATGTACACAACTCAAACGACTGGTAAGGTTAGGAGAAATATGAAAACAAAAGAAAACAGGAAGCCACTTCTTCCAGCCCACTGTTACTATTTTAAGGGATTGATACAGGGAATTTCCTGACTTAACTTTAATCTTAAATTATATGCTTCCATGGTGGTAATACAAAAATAGGCCCAGTGGAACCACCTCCTTGTCTTAGGTAAACTTATCAGTTGTTGGGGGCGGGGCCGGGGGGGGGGCGGATAAAAAGGGCAGCTGGAATCATTGTGAAAAATGACCTCTCTGGTAGTCATGGGGTCAGTTGCAATAAATATTATGTTATGATGATGCCTGTGATGAGTAGTAGCTAAGAGAACAATGTTCTGGTTCCTTTGGACTCTTATCCCATTGGCAAACACTCCAGAAGAGGGGTTCACATCCAGCTCTGCCTTGTCCATGTGAGTTCTTGGTTCACGCAGTATCTTAAAGCAGAAGAATGAAGGAGAGGGGGATTGAGAAGTGTCTTTAATGGTTTCATTGCAAGGCTAAGCTCACCACACACTTGGGCTGCATTTTTTCCCCCTAGAATTAATTCAGACTGCTGTTTATAGATTTGTTGTTTTTGACAAAGTTCAATCATGTGAAAAGGCTATAACTAAATGTATCAGATGTTTAATATTAAGAAAACAGGTGAGTGGCAAAGCATACTCATGCACTTAGTAAATATTTATTAAATGCCTACTGTGTGCAAAACACAGTGCCAGCTGAGCTTAGAATCTTGTTCTGATTTGGATCAAATCTAAATGCAGGAGTTGATCTTATTATAATCATCGTTTTTGTTAGTTCAACATTTTGCTTTCACTCAGCCAAGTTTACAAAGCAGCACATTGCTTACAATTTGACTCATCAACTGGCAGGTTTTACTGCTGCTTTCTCTTTGACCGTATGAGTACACATCATAAAATCAGCACCATCGACTTTGAAGACATTTATTAAAATAATGCATTTGTGAGAGGAAATTTTTTAAGACCTGTGGGTTATAAACTCCTTGATCTATTTACTCCACATCATTGGATCCTAATCCTTGCAGGGTGGGACAGGTCCTGATGCTTGTAGTGTGATGTGAGAGAAGTTTTAAGTGTATTAGTCACAACCGGAGTATACTGAGCTCCCTTAACAATTGGGTCCTCACATTTACTTTTGAAACCTTGATTTAGATCCAACCGATATAACTCTTTCAGAAGAATGGCCTATAACAACTATAATTTTAAAGATATATTTTCTAAGTAGCTAACTTTGAATGCATGTATGTGTATGTGTGTGTCTGTGTGTGTGTGTACTGCCAAGATTCTGTACATTTTATTTGTAAAATGTGCCAGTCAATATTTACTAAAGAAAAAATTGAAGAATGTATCTCTCAATGATGATGGAAAGACAGGAAGAATTTTTCTTAGGTAGTATTCTTATATTTGGAAGAAGGTTCAAAACAGTAACATAGATTTTGGTGGAGAAACAAAACTATATACATGTCAGGCACTGGTAGTTAATAGAGAATAAAAGATGACTGAGATTTGGCTCATATCCTTTGGGAAGCTGCAGTGAGTGAGAAGAACTTGATTCAGATGTGAAGAACAAAAAGCACTCCCATGTATGCTACGGTATTGTCTGCAGAAAGGAGTTGAGGAAGACAACTTGGAGAGGCAGATATTTGAACTGGCTCATAAAGCCTGAATAACATTTCTTCCAGGAATGGCAAGACAACTGTGTTTCAGGGAAAAGACACCAAGAAAGAGAAAGGTCCGTGCAACCAAAGTGCCAAACCCCAGGAACCTATAAGAGAAAGCAGGATAGGACAGATGAGGGAGGCCTAGAGAACTTGGATAATGTGAGACTTGAGGAGAGGCTGGAAAAGCTTGAGGGTGAAGAGGTCTTGAAAAATCAAGAGGGAGAAAATCTCAGTGACTATTGAACAACAACAACAGCCTAGTAAGAGGCAGCCTAAAGTAAAGTCAGAATTCTTTCCCCTAGCCTAAAAGTCCTTGCCTGGTGGGAACTTCACCTACCTTTATAACCACATCTCCTGCCCCTCTCCTCCTTACTCAATATGAACTTCTTTTGAACACATACCAAACCTGATCCTACCTGAAAAACTGCCCTAGGTCAGTGGTTCTCAATTAGGTGTGATTTTTGTCACCCTGAAGACATTTAGCAATTTTGGCTGTCAAGACCTACTAACAGAAGATCTACTGGCATCTAGTGGGTAGAGGCTACCAATACTGTTAAACATCCTATAGCAAGCAGGATGTTCCCCTACAACAAAAAATTATCAGTCCCAGAGTGGCAATCGTGTCAAAGTTGAGAAACTTTTAGGTGTTCCCTTAGCATGAGTACTCTTCTCACAGATGTAGTCAGTCTGTCACCTCCTTGTTTTATGTTTAAATAAATTATCACTATGGAGTGATTCTTGTTTGTTTCAATTATTGTGCTGACCCTCTATCAAAATATAAGCTCCATGAGGGCAGAGGACTGGACTATATCAACAGTTCCCAGACAGTACCTGGAACAACACAATGCTCAATAAATATTTGTTAAATAAATAAATGGGTGGGTTGCAATCCTGGTTCTAGCCTCTACTACCTCTGTGATTTTGGCAAGTTTCTAAATTGCTAATGTCCCTTTTTCTCATATGCAAACTGTGGGGCAAGAACTGTGTGTATTGGGTACAGAGCTGTCAAGAACAGTTCTTGACACATCAGTAGAGCCACATTGGCACTAGTTGAATGAATGTTGAAAGGCAATAAATTCCTTATTAGAACGTACTAACACCTTGCTTTGATTCCCGGGTAAACTTTAGCATTTAGGAAAATGGAAAAGTGGGTAGGTGTTTTAGCAAAAGTAGCTTGGGTCCTTCAAAGTTAGATGATACAGTGCATTTTTTCCCTTGTTTAGAAACTGATTTTTTTTTTAATATTTTATTTATTTTTGAGACAGAGAGAGAGACAGAGCATGAGCTGGGGAGGGGCAGAGAGAGAGGGAGACACAGAAGCTGAAGCAGGCTCCAGGCTCTGAGCTGTCAGCACAGAGCCCAATGCGGGCCTCAAACTCACAGACCGCGAGATCACGACCTGAGCCGAAGTCGGGTGCCCAACCGACTGAGCCACCCAGGCGCCCCTAGAAACTGATTTGAGATGCAAGTTTCTTTACTTGTGATTGGAAAGCTCCAGCCTGTTTTTGTTTGTTTGTTTGTTTGTTTGTTTAAGAAAACAAGACTCTTGTTAGACATTTTAGAGTAGCTAAACTATGTGTTCAGACCAATTCTGGCCAAACTTGAATGCTTAATGAGGATAGGATTAGTACTAAGCTCAGTGCAATGCACAAGGCTAGACATCTGGGTGACAAAGTAAGGACATGGCTGATTTTTAAAATAATTAGTTTCACAGCTTCCATTTTTGGAAAAAGCTTTAGGGATACCACTGGTTCAGAAACAATATGATGAGACAGCATTAGAGGAAAAAGAAAATGTCACATTTAACTTGTGAAAAATGTTCAGCGATAAACCAGATATTTTCTCCATTGGTAAAACAAACAAGCAAGAGCTAGTGAACTGGACCCAAGGAGCCCTGCCAAAGTCAAATCGCCCACGGACACTGTGCAGACTCTTTATTTCTATTTCATTTGGTTTTTTCTATCTTTCCAATACCTCCAGCATAAAATTAAAGTGGGAAGCAATATGTTCTGGTTTATTATGTATTTTTTCATCCTCAGTAGAATCTAAAATTATCCCTAAGCAGATACTCATGTTTGGAGGATAATGTTCTGAAGTCTAACCATGAGACAGATTGTATGTTCTTAGGAAGAATGTTTTAAACAAATCAATATTATTGTTGATCTTTTAAATAAATTCTTAAACTTGTTTAATAATCTCTACTCTCCCTTTTCCTTCTTTTGAAGGCTGAATTGGAATGTCCTAGATCTTCAGAGCCACAGGACAGAAAGACCCTGAGTGCAAAAAGACACCCCCTGAGCACAAATGCACTGAACTGTTACCTTGGTATTTATTTGACACCAACTAGCATTAACTTAGGTAAGATACCATGTCTTTTACCAACATTGGAAAAACAAGAGCATTCAAGAGGGTAATATGTTTCAAGTAGAAGGTAGAATTACTTGCCCACAGCAATAATTTGCAGTACCTACCTGATGCCTGAAGGCCTTTGAGTTTGAGACTCCTTGCTTATTGAAACCCTTCAGATCATTAATTGCCCTGTAATTTCACCTTTGGTTATCTTCTCTGTAACAGGAATAAAGAAATTTAGCCGTAAAATTCAGAAAGGTGAATTTATCTAAAATTCTTAAAATTTTAGACTAAAGGAAATGGCTTGAGAAACATTTTCAGACATCTCATGTTCATTATTTTATCTGTGGAAAGCTATAAAATAAATACAATCAAGGACTTGTAAAATTGAAAGAGGTCTAGGGCCATCTAACCTTACCCTCTATATCTGTGTGTGAATTTTCTCAGTTGTTGCATTTGAGTACCACCTCTTTTGTAAGTACTTGGAGTAATGGGGAGCTCCTTACCACACAACACAGCTTTATTGAGCAGTTTTATTGTTAGGACCTTATTATTTGATAAATAATATACCCACAATATAATATGGCCTCTATACCTACCACTGACTATAATAAATTCTGTTGTCAAATGCATATGAAGTCATGTAGGATAAACCTGATTTCTCTTCCATATGCTCATGAAACAGCCTGTTAGTTATTGGAAGACATGTCAGATGTCCTGTCTATACAACATCTTAGTTTTTCCAGACCAAAGACTCTCAGTTCTTTCGACTGTTAAACATGTTTATTGTGGTATCATAATCCTGATTGTCTCTTCTAGAAGCAATCCATAAACTTCTAGATATATTCTTAGTTATAGCCTATTTTTATTATCATTTTGGATTTGTTTTGGGCTGTCCTCATCTGACAGCTGAAACGTTTGAACTATTGTCAACCATATAGCCTATATATTTTATGGTAAATACAGCTCAATGTTTGTTGTTTAATGTTTGTTTAGGTTATTAATCCTTTGTTGGTTTAAAATATTTATGAAGATTTCATACATTTCAGTACTTACAGTACCTGCAGGTTTGGTATGAGGGGAAAATTGATATGGTCTCAGGAACCTAGATATTAATTTTTTAAGAATAAACTAGAATTTATTCTGTGCGAGATTCAGAGGCAAACTTAGATTGAGGTTTTTTTTTTTTTCGCTGCCATTTTTTTAAAGTTTATTTATTTATTTTGAGAGACAGAGAGAGAGAGAGAGAGAGAGAGAGTGTGTGTGTGTGTGTGTGTGTGTGTGTGTGTGTGTGTGTGTATGTGTATGTGTGTATGTATGTGCATGAGCTGGGAAGGGGCAGAGATAGAGGGAGACAGAATCTCAAGCAGGCTTCTGATCTGTTGACCTAGGGCTTGAACTCATGAATTGTGAGATCATGACCTGAATTGAAATCAAGAGTTGGCTGCTTAACTACTAAGCTACCTAAGCCCCCCTTCACTGCCATTTTTAAATAATCATTTTCCCATTTTCTATTCATGTTTCTTAATTACCTTTAGGTTTCTGCATTTCTAAATGTCTATATTTTCTTATGGAATTTTGAAGCTTCTGTATTCTAACTTTACTCAATTTGAGGAAAAGATCATTTTATTTTTCAGTATATCTGATACGATGCTTTATGGTTGTGATAATTCACAATAGTTAGCAAAACAAAAATGAAACTTCCATTTTATACCTATACAAACTTTGCTGAAAAAGAAACCTGCTGCCTTACCTAGCTAGACCAGTAGACTGACACTGAAGTTTCTTCAAACACATTTAGGTGTTATAGCTCACTTGAAAACTTTACACATCCCGTTTCCCTTCAAGGGTTTTCCTGTTCCTTCTTCCTGGTTCTAATTTCTTATGATAACAGAGAACAATAGGGTGTTAGTGGAAGGGGGATAGGGATGTCTGTGTGTATGATTGCCCACTCGTCAGTACTAAGAAGTAACCCAAGTAGTCCAGGAGAGTTTTTATACTGGCTCCAGCTGTTAGTGATCCCAGTGGGTTTGGTGACCAGTTGTTACTGCCCTCACAGCACATGCTGGCACTATAGTGTGTTACACTGCATAGCTGGAGGGCCCAGCTGGGTCTCTTAATAATAATTTTATGGCATGGTGGTCCTTTGACCTCTAATCCAGAGACTCTTCCACATAGTTAACGCCAAGGTCCCTGTTGGGGGCTGATGGATTGTCATTTGTCTACTTAATATTTATAACCTCTTATAAGCCCACATAAATTTTAGGATTTTCTTCTATACCAAATTTAACTTCAAAGAAAACTGTGGCTGGTCCTTGCCTTTTCCAGTCTAGGCATGCCTTTGCACCTATCACTTGTGATCTGCCCCAGAAAAATCTACACATTCCTCTGTTAAGAAACTCTAGTCAAGGAGTGGTTGCTCGTCTTTTAGATTCCGAGCCCTCTTCCCAATTTCCTGGCAGGGCAATTTTTGTGGTATCATCTCTTTCCCCCAGTAAGCACCCAGGTAATAGGTAAGGCAATACAAATTGCACTGTCAGTTCCCTTCCACTTTCTATTCATCTCTTTTTATAGCTGGAGAAAGATGCTCGATTTTCAGGTTTGCATATTTTTCCCAATCTTCTGCCTGGTGAGTTGCTTTCTAGACAGGTAGTTTAAGCTATCCCCCTTATTGGTGGTCCATGGAGGGGATGGAGGAAAGAATGAGAGTGTGCTCAATATATGGCTCAAGTTGAAGCCATATCTATCACTCAGTTCATGTAATTCTCAGAGACAGCCTTACCTTGGAGTTTTATTAGCTCCCTTTTCAAAGTACATTGGCACTCTGGACAATAATAATTATTCACAGTAATAACGTGAAGATTTGTGTTTGATGACATACTGGTCTAACAAAAACGTGGAATTGAAAAATCAATTCATGCAATCATGCATATTTGAAAGACAATTCTGGGAACTGTTCTTCTTTTTCATCTTTTGCAAAGCTACTCTTGTATTTGACAGTTTCGTAATTCAGATAAGTGGATAATTAAGCCCATCTTTCAGTTCATCTGTCTATATTTAGCAAGCCACCATGTGAGGATATGAAAATAAGACCTGGCCCTTGCCTTGGACCAAGAATGGTTTTCACATTTTTAAAGAGTTGAAAAAAACAAAACAAAACAAAGAATTCGTGTCACCCTTCATGGCCTACAAAATCTAAAACATTTAATATCAAGTCCTTTCCAGAGTTCACTAAACCACTCACCAGTGACATTTTTACCTGAGTATGGTATTTTCATATTTTTTATCATTTTATACTTTTACTCACTACTTTATATTTATTATTTTTTATATTGATATGATTAATATTTAACATTTTGAGATATTTCACTTAATTATCAGTAATTTTTCTGTGATTCTTATAATCTGTTCATTAGCTTTTCCTTTCTTTCTTGCTTTATAAATCTAGTCGGCTCTTCTACTCAATAGATACAGTCATTTTGGCAGGGTAAAAATTGAGTACAGACTGCATTAAAATCATTAAATTGATTTCCTACATTTGATTCAGACATTTTTGAGGCTTTGTGCTGAGAGCTGCATTCAATAAACAATTTTACATTTAAGAAAACTTTATTTGACTGGAATATCATGCCATTTGACTTAAATTAATTTATCAATTCAGTCAAAATTATCAATGTTTATATACATATACAAAGTATACATGTATATAGATAAATTGATATCTTCATCTAGGAATAATGTAGCATGTCAAAACATTGTACTTGCTTCAAGTTGACTTACTGCTATATTTCAACACTGTCACCTTATATTCAGTACATTTGTGCATTTCACCATACATTTTTGGAAAGAGTTGAGTCACAGACATCCATCCAATCTAAATGTTTTTTTCAGGATATGAAAGAAAAATATTGTTTTAAAAATCAAGTGAGTTTTAAATACTTTTTAAAACTGCACTTCTATCTGAATTTCCTGAATTTGAAGGGTCATGATAGCCTATCCCTTTTTAGTGTAAAAGGAGTTAGGATATAAAGTGTTTTGGTGTGTCAATTTTGTATACATAATAATTCAAACATTCTTAAAACGGGTCTAACATGACCCATATGCTTTTATTCACTACTTGTTACTACTTGAGTTATTTTAATCCTTATCATTTATCTATTGATTATATTATTCTTTCATGGTATTTATTATGCCATTTAGAACCAGGAATAGCATAGTAATTGAAGCAAGCTAAAACCTTTCAAATGATGTCCATGAAGAAAGAATATTCCTGCAAAACCCAAAGAGGACTTAATACCATATTCGAATTCTTTCCATTCTACAAACATGTAAAACTCTTCTTTCTGCAGAGACCTTGTTGCCTTTCTTTCAGGATGGTCTTTTACCAACTCTTTGCTCTCATGATTTTCTCATTTTGGACCCGAAGTATAGGATCAATCCAAGGCATTAATCCAGTAACCCATGATTATTAAGATTATATTCACCCCAATCTGTATCTAGAGGTTTTGGAGTGCTGGAGTAGGAACCTTGTGTATTCTTCCTTACTTTGTGGCACAAACATCCAGATTGTATGTGGAGATTTGTTTCAGATCATTTGCTGTTTGCTTCTCAATCTTGTTTTCTAAAATATGAAATATTCTTCCAGAAGATAAGGCAAATATGTACAGTGGGAAAAGACAGGAAAAAAAAAAAGAGAGTTGCTATTTCACATGGTCACTGCCAAGAAAAGCTCCTCAGACGCCAGTTATAAACTTGTAATTGTAGTCCTTGGAGCAAGCATCCTTTTGTGATCCTAGTAAGATTATGGAAACAATACAGCCACGATTCCTTTATAAATAATTCTGACATAAGAATTTTGTATGGCATATTTAAATTAAATATATTATAAGATACTTGGTATATATGCCTGGAGTCTACATGTGAATTGTACATATAGTTATAATAGTATTTACAAATTTTACTCCATAATTTTATAGCTGATAAATAAATTATGGATTTAGGTTTGAAAT